TTGTTAAGGTACATATTGTTAAAGACACTCCCGGGATTTTGTTACTATCGGAATTTTGATAAAGTCAGGATTATGATTGTCGGGATTATGTTTGTTGGGATTTTGAATGTCTTGAATTTGACTGTCGAGACTTCGGTTATCGGGATTTCATAAATTTTGCATAATGCAATTTTGATAATGCATTGGTACCAACTGATCATCATCGAGGATTAGTAATAGTTTAAACTGTAAATATTATAAGAAATATATGTTGAACTTGTTAATAAAATAAAATGTACATTTTATTATAAACTGCAAAGATAATTTCCTGGTTAAGGTTCTATTTAGTATGCAATTGTGCACAATTAGATAAATAATAGTTGCGTTTTCCTGTGGTGCACTTAAAAACTGTCCGCATTTTATTTTTGTTCGCTCCGGTGCTGCGGTGTGGGTGTGTTGGTGGCAATATGTGCCATGTAAAAATGGCATAAACATAACACACGGTTTTATCAGCAAATATACGAGTTCAGCTAGCAAACAAAACGGCACGAGGCCTACGGTTCTAATCTCTTGGGGCAAACCCGAACCCAAATACACATGCATACCCCTCGTCCCTGTCCCATTCCCGACCCAACAGCACCACCACAGTCACAGAGGCATTGCAGAGGAATACATACAAACCACACATCCACACACACATTCATCCTGGACACAGATACGTCCGTGTTCCTGGGATGCAGCCTCCGTACACTAAAACGCAGTAAATCAAGACACAAAATCTGCCGGGAGTGATAATGCGAGTCGACATTGAGAAATATCTACTGGTATTCCCGTTGTGTGATTCCATCCCCTTTGTCTCGCCGTGCTACGCAACAGCTCCTAAGACTTCACCTTTGACCCGAATACATATTCAGGCTGCAAAACAAAAACCGTCTCGTAACTCGTCTCAAACTCGTTGGAATTCTAATTATAAAACTTGCCTAATTACCTGAACCGAGCTGCTGTTGGTGTTGTTGTTGATGGTAATAGCAACAACAGAAATAATAACATTAACAGTCGTAATTAGAATAGATTAATTCGATAATCAATTTCGTGACAAAATTGAAACGTAATTGCATTTTGTGTCGGTAATGTCGGAGGTTATAAATTGAAGTGTTTCTTTCTGGGAAGTATTCTTGATGAGAAGGAAATTATATGATTCCCCATAGGAATAAGTGCTGGAAATTGGAGAAGGAAGTCATTTATTTACTTTTAAACACGGAATTGGATTTTGTAAAAATTTTCACAACACACGAACAACACTACAGCATCATTTATAGTTTTTAAACGAATATACGACAAGTTATTTTTATTTTGTTATAAATAATATATTTTAAGTTGAATTATATTATCCATTATATTAAATATACCAGCTAGTAAAAAAATATCGATTACAATTTGGATCAATAATTTATATTTTATTTCATTTATATTTAACCCTTTCGGACCTGCCGGTGGCATTTGCTATTTTATAACTGAATACCGATTTTCAACATAAAACACTCGACAAATTATTGCAAAGATATTTCGTTAATAACTTCTACCATATTTGAATCTTTTCGTATCTGAGTAAAGGTTAGATATAATATAAATATTTTCTATACCAAGAACAATTTTGACAACGCAATTGACACCAGTGGGTGCTTTGTCTAATTTGACGATAAAATAAAATGTTTGTTTTTATTATATGATGATGGAATATCCCTAATCGAATTTTATGGAAATTTAAACAGTTAAGCTACTTGATTCTGATGTAGAAGACGAAAAGGAAAATTTACATGAAAATCATGAAAATGACGATGACATTGAGGAAAAGTTAGGTGATGAGCAGCAAGGAAATGAAACGACAAAAACGATAAACAGTTCCTGTGAATGACATCAGATATGATAATCTGGTCATTGACCAATACAGGTAGGTGACCATGAAGAACGTTTTAAACTTGAAAATTGTGGGGGGGCTTTCGCGGACTTAATGCAAAAAATGCCAAGTGCCTTTTTGTTTATTTAAATTTAAAAATTGTTTAAAATTTTTAAATTTACCACGTCTTTCTAGTTTCTATACCTATGGAGTATACCAGGGGTGGAATACCATGAACCATGAATGAATACCATACAATATTTTATAATAAAAAAAATACTTTTATTATTGAACATTTACGTTTGAAAGGGTTAACTAAAAACAATATTTGATACGACTACTGTAGCCCTGTCTATGCAATATGTGTTTCATTAATTATTTTTTGTTGTTACCTTTTACTTTGATATATTTTATAAAAGGGCGGAAATACTACGGTCCTTTGTATGTATATAATAAATTTTGTTTATTATTATTTTATAAATTAAAGTTTGACCGGAAAGGCCAATGGTTAACATCCCTTTGTAATAGTTAATTATTTGTTTATTATGTTAATATTATATGAATGTTTAATTATTTATTTCTGAATGTTTAACTATTTAAATAAACATTATTATTACAATTTTTAACAAAAGTTCAGGATACAGGAGAATGTAAAAAATCTAAACTCAAAATAGATTTTGTAAGATATTTTGTTAGAGTAAAAAAATATAATATTTAAAGGTCACTGGAAATGTTGAAAGTAATAAGAAATTTAATTTAGTATTAAATTTGTTGTAATAAAAAATACAAATATTTTTTTACCAATTAATTATTAATATTTTTTGTTTATATAGTATTAATAAACCAATTATTATTAGTGTTTCTTTCATTTAGAGTATAAATAGAAGTTAAATTGAAAATAAAATGTTTTCAAGGATAGAACATTATTTGCAAACACATGATACATGTTCTAAATAACTCAGTCTCAATAGTACAGACACACAATACAAACGATGAAATTATGAGTAATTAATCTGAGATAAAGCAATAATTAGTGGTACCATAAAGTTAGGTTTCTCTAGATCGCTGTTTGATATTCTGAATAATTTTGAAATAATAGGCATAGATTGATGCAGTTCAAAATTTGTATTTATATTGATATGGTTGAAAAAAAGTTTTATTCTATTATTTACAGAGATATTCAAACGGTGTCCCAATAAAAAAAAAGTAGATATTTTCATATGATGTCGTTAGTAAATATTGAGATTCGTGCTTAATGAAGTTGATATTGGTAAATACTTGGATTTCATCGTTTTTTAGATACCAGTGCGTTGATAATTATAATATAATAAAATATCGAAGCTTGAGCTACATGCAGAACCCCAAAGTTGAAATCCATTGGCCTTTATGGCTTAAAATTGATGATATGGATGTAGAAGACATGTGGTTTCAACAAGACGATGCAACATGTTACAGTGCCAATGAAACCATGCAGTTATTGCAATAAAAAAATAATGGTCGTGTTATCTCGATGTGAATTGGCCGCCAAGATCATGTGACTTGACACCGTTATACTGCTTTCTTTGGGGTTATCTTAACAAAAGAGTGTACATCAATAAACCACAAACCATTAAAGACCTAAAAGATGAAATTCGACACAATATTGCCGAAATTTCCTAGCAATTATGTCAACATGTTATAGAAAGTTTCATCAAAAGAGTGAACACGTGCTGCCAAGGCAGGGGCGGTCATTTGTCAGATGTTTTCTATCACATATTACCTCCATGACTATAATTTCAAATAAAGCAAAAAATATTATCAATTATCAAATAAAAAATGTGTTTTATTAAAAAAAAAAATACCAATTCATTTTGGGACACCGTTCATATATCAGTTATTTATATTTGAGATTAATCAAATTTTATAAACATTCTTAATTGTCTTAGAGTTTATTTATTTATATAAATTAATTAAATATAATGTCATTAAATTAATATATCTGCTTATCGTAATATATAGATAATCTGTTTTAATTAATTACTTGCATATAAATATTTCAATCTTAAGAAGAAACGAAGTAGATGAAACAACCTGATATTTATCATTATTTAGAGTACATTTTATGTTTATTATACTTAAACGGAATTTAGTTAGTGGAGTCGATAATATATTTGGTTTGTGTAATATAAATACCATATGAACAGAGTTCACTAATGAAACTCCTTTTAAAATATTATCTTCGTGTAAATTGTATCAATTTTCATAATAATTATTTTCTATAAATTCTCTCAAACTTCGAATCGTTTTATATTTTTAAATAACTTGAAACTTGAATAAAAAATTGAGGATAATATTCGATAATGCAATATTATAAAGACAAAATATAAATAAATAATATTAAATAAATTTATATCATAAGAAAAAAAGTAAGTATTTTTATAATTAATCAAATATTTTCAACCAGTAAATTTTATATGAAAGATTTTATATGACATCAATAATTTCCTTCATATTAATATTATTATTAATTAAATACTTTTCAATATGTTTCAATATGTGCTATTATAATTACTACTATTTTTTTTAATCGGGTTAAACTAAATTTATTTTACTTTATATTGTGCACATTATGGAAACTGGAACAGATTCATTAAATTTATATTATTTACTCGGAAGTCAAACAACTTGAAAATATAATCGTTTCGTGACGAGGATTGTGTTTTCACTGTATATATAAAAAGTTACAGTATTTGCTGCAGATAATTAATCGATCAGAAGGTTCTATTTCGGTCATTTGGCAATCAGCGAATGCCGATGCTCCCGGTCCGACAATGGCCTTAATAAGTTGTTTAATACTCCATTAGACGTGGAAGTTTCCTATTTCCGAGCTTTACTTCTCATTACGGTCTTCCCGCTCTTCCAGGCCTTCCTTTCCCCAAGGATATAGGACAACGCCGAGCCCCCATGAATCTGTCTAATCTCTCCCGCAGGACCGCCGCTTGTATATGCACTATTTAGTCCAGAAACGCACCTGATCCAATACTTAGTGTATTATGAATACGAGCTGACGCTAATGTATAGTAGGCGGATAGATGGTCGCAAATTTCGTTTAAATTGTTTAAGGAAGGAAATTCTAATAAATTACCTGCCATTCTTGGGACCCACATTAGGCACATACGAGGAGCTGGCTGAGATCGCTTCGTCCGGAATGTCTCCGGACTCCATTCCAAGCGGTTCATTACATGATTCTGGAACAAAGGAACACACTGATTTAAATACATACGTACCCGACGGATACCACACTAATTACAATAATATACTAATTAACTTAGAGTAAAGCATATCCATTAAGTATTGTTACATTGATATTTAATAATACTTTTCATTAAAATAAATAGATAAATCATTAGAGACTAAAATCAAATTGTTGTTTATTCACAAAGATAATTTGTTTTGCAAATACAAATCCCAACATCATTAAATGGACTCAAATATTATTTTACCTAAATTTTTAACCGTGGTACACCTGAAATATCTCGCGGTACAGTTTGACAGACCAATTTGTAAAATTTCCATATTTTAGGAAAAATATGAGGTTCGACACATTTATTTGGGACAAAACATATTACATTACATTTCAAATAAGGATTTAATGTAACAACTAATTCAGCGTAATGCAGATAAGACATTCTCATAATCATATAACTTTTATAAAAATTCAGTAAACAAATGTAGAAATTATTTAAAAACTGTAAAGTAGCAATTTTTATTTGTATAAATACGTAATTTTTTATATTTTACGTATAATATTAAGTGAATTAATATTATTGTGAAGTGAAGTAAAATTTCGAAGAATTCGCTTTTTAACTGCAAATTGGTATTATACATTTATATATAATCGAAATTCAATATAGTTTGTGTAATTGAATATTTTCGATTTTTATTTAAATGGAGGTCTTTCTGCCAAAATATTTTCGATTTAATTTAGTTCGTAAAATGATTTATATACGTTGAATGTATTTATGAAAAATACATTCTCTGATCATACTTCAAATAATTTTCAAATTAATAGATTGAAAATAAATAACTATATATACAATAATAGTTTTAAAATTAATAAAATAAAGCAAAACATATGTAATATTGCATATCAGAATAAATATTTATTCACAAACATAGAACTCATTTACTTAGAATATTGGATATTGGCTCCTTACAAGTAAAACTACATAAAACATATTTATAGCCATTACTAGATTTTATTCTCTTGCTTTTCAAATCTACCTACGATTAATGACATTAAAAAAACACTGAAATGAATGTAATTATTTTGACCTCATATTTGTACCTTAGTGGTTATAATAGTCGTTTTTTTGCAAATAGATCATGAAAATGCATTTGTACAAATCATAATACCCAATTTAAAATTTAATTATTAATTATATATTTACTATAATTATAATATATTTAACCACATAATTGTTATGAAAACCGTTAAATTCCAATAGACATCAATTATGAACTACAGACTGAAAATGTATAATTACCATAATCCATGTTAAATTGTTAATCATAGTTTAGGTAAATTTATGTTTTAACATCTTTCTTAGATTTTTGGTGCAGAAGTTATATTTCTATACTTCTCCATTTACCATCTTTTTTTTAACCTTTGAAAATTTATATGGCATATATCTAGTAAAAAAGTATTCTGTATAATTATAATTTATTTCGGGGCGGGTATAGTGAAAAAATAAACTGAACTAACAGAAACTTAAGCCAAGTTTGTTAAGCCACTAAACAGTGTTAGCCTAAAGCCCTACAAACAGTGACAGTTGAGGGCCCCCAAACAGTAATAGCAGAGAGCCCCAGTGTAGGTCGAGGGCCCTAAGACAGGGTCAGTTTAAGGTACATAAACATTGTTAGTACAGGGCTTCTAAACAGGATTTCCCAAACAGTGTTAGTAGTGGGCCCTCAAAAAGTGCTAGTCCAATGGTCCCTAAACAGTTTTAACTTAGAGACCCAAATAGTTGTAGTCGAGGGCCCTCAAACAGTCTTAATTAGTCCGATGTCTACAAAGTAATGAGTTTATTTTATATTAATATATATATTTGACATAATGCAATAAAAAAACAAATTATTTCTCTTCCTCTGTATATTGTTTTTTTTGTAGACAATGAGTAATATATTAAAAAAAACTTTATGTGACAACATTTCAATTGATTCTCATTAAGAAAAAAATCGTTATATTAATTAGGATATGTTTGAGATCAATGATTCACTCAGTGATTATTATTGAAATAGTTGGATGAACAAGAGTATTACATAATTGATATAGAAAATAGGAATGTATAATTATTATACTATAATAATTGAAGATTGGCATATGATTCAGCATGCATGAGTTTTGACGGTGGATTATTATGGGTCGGATCAAATAATTGAACAGACAATAATAACGTTTCACGCACAGAAGCAACAGAGTTTGCGTTGGCAATTAGAATAATTGCGCCATTAACAAACAAATTTCAATTAAATTATCGGCGGATCTGGGAGATAATTAATAAATTTTAATCTTGATATTGTGCAGAGAGCCACCGGCCAACCATGCCGCCCCACGCACACACCAGCACCACCCGTCGACTCACTATTCAATAATTCACGGCCACGCAGCAGCAGACCATTCGCAACAATGTTTAGATGTGCAAACATATTCATTTCAATTGACCGCAACATCATCATACTGCTTCCATAATTATTTCACATAATAATTTCAAATAGCGGCTCGTTGGTTGTACCATTTAATTATATGCTGAAACTAATAATAATTGCGGAAAATTTATTAATTAATTGAACGGTGAATAGTGTATGTTGGGTATGTTTTATACGTTTGCCTAGAAAAAGTTTGGTTATTTGTTGTGCTTCGATAGGTGACCTATAGTCAAATTGATTGACACTCACTAGAGTCGTATAATCTGGTATTCTGTTAGATCATTGTACTATCAAAGATTGACCAGAATGTAGCATCAAAAAAGGAATGCTAAAGGCGCAAGTAATAGTTTTGTTTTTATGAGGAAGTTTCATATTTAGTCCCAGGTGCAAGATTTCTTTCTGCGGCCCTGCTGACAAATAATACTTCTAAATTTATCAATATTACCATTTAGGCATAAGAAAGACTAAGTAAAAGTTCGAATGACAAATTGTAAGAAATCTTAAAATTGTTTTTTTTTACTGTTAGTCAAAAAATGACAGACCTAAGACTAAATAATGCCATTACTATTAAAATTTGTGAGAATTGATTCTCATCAAGTAATTGAAAAAAAAATCAGACCGTATTTAACATCGTCATTATAAAACGAAAATTAATTAGTGGTTAAAGTATACTCTTATTCCAGTTACGAAATGTTATATACATTCAAACTCGGTTAAAGTTACCTCTATTAACGAAGTTTCAATATAACAAAGTACATAATTTTAATCAATATATTGTAAAAACTTACACTAGAATAACTGAAAATAAAATTAAGAAGAACTGAAAATATAAATTAAGATATACAGTTGGCAACGGAAAAATTCGTAAATCTTGAAATTTTCACGAAAAATTTTATTTATTTTATATGGTAGGTAATAACACATAATAAATAAAATTTATAAAAATAAATGAGAAACATAGTTTTGAGAAACTCTGTTCTAGACTCTGTGATTCCCCACCTTTTTTGTGCCATATGTAACATAATACGTCATACGATTAATTCTAGATGTGTCCATTTTCAAAAATTAACTCAAATTTATGTAATCATACATGTCTTATTTACACGCATGCAATAAAAAATGTGAATTTAATAATAAAATATTAACTACCCTTTTTTTATCGCTTTCATTTAATCAGTTTTGAAATTCCTGCGTGCAAATGAAATATGAATGGAATCAATTAATTAAACATGTTAATTAAAGTTGCTATTAACTCTGGGATAAACTTAATTGAAATACACACAGTGTGCATGTGATGCTGATTCGGATGAAAAAAATAGGGCACAAACATCGGATAATCGAAGTCAACTAATGAATTTGAAAAAAAATAAACAAAGGTGCGGAAAAAGCGTTCGAGGCAGGGAGAAATCTGACTGAAAGCGAAACAAAACAAGCGGCCGAATCGCTTTTTTTTAGAAGAATGGAGAAAGGTACAAGGGAAAAGGGACTGACAACTCTTTTTATATGGTGTTCCAGTTGGAAATGTTGTTTTTGTTCGTTTTGGTACAAAGGAAAAGGGGTTTAGAAGTAAATTCATACTAATGAGGTGGGGATTGCATTGATTTAATTACATTATTAAGAACTTCACCCTTTGATGCTTTAGAAGTTCAGGTAGTTCCTATTTTTAAGAATTCTGCGTATTTGAATGTTCAGCTATGGACCGTGACTTTTCATTTTGAGAAAGAATGATTGGAACGAAATTAATACGTAAAGGCGGTAACTACCCGAATGTATTGATCGCTTGCCTTCGCCGTAATTATTAATTCTTAGAGTGGTCTGTGACGTATATATGTCACAAAGTCAATTTGCATGTGACAAACTGTCAATTTGCCGCTGTTTTAGAAAGCTCAAACTATCATGAAACCGGATAAATTACTCAAAGGCTTCTATTACTGATTTTTTTATAACGCTGTAATTCTATTTGTTCAACGATATTTATCAATTTAACATACATTTTTCACATCTTCGCAGGTTTCACATCGTGTTAACCAACGTGGATATTAAGTGAATGAGAAATTGACAAACTTGGTGGTAGAATAATATTCTTGTAGAATTTTGAAGATTTTATAACAATAACTATTTTTTTTAAAGAAATCTATTGAAATTGGATATATGGTAAATTTATTCGTATTATTTTCTATTACATAATTGAAATAATTAAAAAAAACATTTACTACATTTACAGTGTTTAAGTGTGCCATTTGTTGTTTTTTTAAACCGATATAACTAAGTCAGAAATTGTCCGAAATTAATAGGAAATTGATAAGATATGTTCATACAGAGTTAAATCAGAATTGTAAATTAACATCAAATAAATTAAGTTATATATGAATTAATCAATAGGTTTTGAAAATGTCGATGAAGAAAATGTTAGAAATATATTGAAGATTATGTTTTACAGTGGACGATGATTTTTTCAGATCCTTCAAACGAATTTTAAAGAAATCTCTCGAAAGAAAAAATATCAAAATAGAATTGCATTAACTCTGTATAAAAAAAA